GCACTTGCTATGTACTTATACCGATACCATATATCTTTTTATATACTTAATAAATAAAATTTTATTTTAGATTAATTAGAACTAATATATTTCCCTTTAAAAATATATTTATAAAAAATTACATATATGTGTAGGATAAAAATAAAAAAGCCAAAAAGTAACTTTTTTTTTTTTTTTAAAAAGCTATGATATGAAGATGACCCATACCCATTGAAAACTAGTGAAAATATATATAAATTTGAAATACCCATTGAATATAGGTACAAATATTATTATAATATAAAAAGTCAGAGATTATGATGCGAATGTTTTACCCACCTCATACCTTATTCATTGATATTTTTAGTAAAATTTTAAATACTTTAATAATTTTTTTTCAATAGAGACCCACAAAAACAAAGTAAGTTTAAGAATTTTTTCTCGAAAAAAAGTTAGGGGTGATAATGATTCGGATCGATTTAGTTGTTTTGGTTAATACATACTATTATAAATTTTCAAAATTTGATTTTATTCAAACCAAACTTTTTTGGAACTAGTCCAATTTGAATAGAATTTTACTGGTTAGGTTCAATTCATTGGATTTTAAAAATTATTTTTTAAATCTTTTGATAGTATTTTAATATAGCTTTTAACATATTTAAATAAATTTAGTATAATAATTATTATTTTATAAAATTTAAAAAATATATAAACTAATAAAAATATATAATTCGGTTCGATTTATTTATTTATTTATTTTTTCACTTCTTAATTCAAAATCTGATTTGAATCTAATAGATACATTTAATATATGAATTTAATCCAAACCGAATAAAAAAATTAATATGAACCAAACTGAACACTATAGTTTTAAACCAATTATCAATTTCCAGATTTTTTTTCTCACCCTTATCTAAAGCCTATAATAGGTTTATCCTTACCTTACAAAAGACAAAATAAATTTAGAATTTTTTTTCCAATGAGGTTTAAGCCCCCACTAAGCTCTATCCTTTAACATAACATTGTGTTTTAGCTTAATTACGTTTGGATTTTTTTAAAAAAAATTATGTGGAGTTTATTTGATATTATTGATTAAATTTTTTTTGAATCCTATCTTTTTTATTTTTAATTAGATTATTTTATTAGAAAAAATATCAATTGAGTTGTCAATGTAGCATTTAAATTTGACTTTTTTCTTTTTTGGTTTTTAGTTTTTTTTTTTAAAGTATACATTAAATTTTGTAAGAAAATGATGCTAATGGAGATATCTATGTCACACCCCCATTTGGCTTTATTTTTTTCTTTTTTTTTGCCCATCCTTTTTTTTTTTCAGTTTTTTCTTCTTTAATTAAATAAATTTTGTAAAAATAAAGAGGTAAATGGAGGTTGGGAATGATAAAATAATCTATTTTCGATAGGTTTTAATCTATCCCGATTCATAGTGCGTATTTTTTTAAAAGAGATTCAATTAGGTAAGGTGGTTTTTTCTTTTTGAAAATCATAGTTGAGCTAGAAGGGGTTTAGGTTGCTCAGTCTCAAAATATATATATATATATATTTTTAAATATTTATTTAATTATATATATTATATTAATAAATTTATTCTTTTAATACATTCATTTGATAAAAACACTATATTTATGTATAATTAATATGTTATTTCTATTTACAAAAATATACTTTTTATGAACATTATTATAAAATAAAATTATTGAATTAATTTTAGGTCACGTTAGATCGGGTGCGTTTTACGTATATATGTGTCGAGTTTTAGTCAAGTATAAAAAAACTAATGTCAAGTCAAAGTCTAAGTTGATTAGAATTATTAAAGAGTCTAGTTGGTGTCATGATGAGGTTAAACTCATCTTGACTTGATCTCTCAATGAAAATGTCCATGTGACACCCGTATTTGCCCCTTTTTTATTTTTTTAGTTTTTGTCTATTTTTTTTAATTAGATAAATTTTGTAAGAAAATGAGAAAGCAAGAATGACAAAACTGCAACTAAGGGTGTAATAGAGCCAAACCGAATTGATACACTACCAAACTTGAGCTTGACTTAAAAATTGAAGATTGAAGCTTGAAGCTTGGCTCAAGTTAGTTCAAATTCTATTTTTCAAGTTTGAGCTTGACTTGAGATAAAACTCAAATCTAGCTTGAGCTTACTTGATTAAGCTTGAATGATAATAAAAAAAATTTTGAATTTGTTTAATATAAGCAAAAGAGTGCTTACATCTTGCCAAGAAATTGCCTCATTTGAACTTACTTCCAATTGATTGCATTTGTAAAATTACTTCACTACGTAAAACTACCTCTTGAAAAACAAGTGCTCTGTCGATCATTCCTTAATAAAATTACTCATAAACAAAATTGAAAAAAATCTATTAATTTATTGTATCATTTTCAAAAGCATAAATTAAATTCAATAAATCACCATAAATTCCCAACTTGCTTTATATGATCTTTATAATCACCAACATTAAAATCAATGAACTTGAGTCTCAATCATATATGCCCATCAACCTAAAAATCAATATTTTTTCAAAAAATAACCAAGACAAATGGGGGCATTAGAGGAAGAGTAGTTTGCTATACCCAGAATATTCAAGATAAGAGATTTCATCATGAAGTTTGAAGTTTGGAGTAAGAGGTCCACCTTGACATTGGGGTTTTCAACTTTTTTAGATTAAGCATAATTCTCGTGATGCTGATTACCATCAAGCAACTTCAGCCTTTCGATTATTGACTCGATAGTAGGCAATGAATGAGCACGGGGCAACAGCATTGGAGGAAGGATTATCATTGTCAAGCCAAGGAATGAGCACCGCTAGGTTTGTATCTTGTCGTTTTGGAAGAGCGAAAAAAGGAGAGATAAACATATAAGATTGATTTAGGAGTTTTTAGGTTAGGTTAGATTTAGGTGTATATATATATATATAAGGGTGAAGTCATGTTTTCATAATTAAAATAATAAAAATATATTAAAATAAAAAATTTTGATTAAGCTTGTGAGCTATTTGAGTTAAGTATTAAAATGTTCGAACTCGACTAGCTTGATAAGTTGAGCTACTCAAGTTTGAGCTTCACTTGATAATAATTAAGTCGAGTTCAATTTTTCTTCAAACTGAACTCAATTATTTTATGAGTAAAGGTGTATTGTCTTACACCCCTAATTGCTAGTATGCAGTGGTTTCTAACTTGTTTTAATTGAATAGGGCAATTTTTTCTTTTAAAAATCGGGATCGAATTGAGCATGGATGATTTTTCTTTTCAAAATTGAAGTCAGATAGAAGGTGGATTTATGATGCTCTACTGTAGTTCTCCTCAGAATATATAAAATATATATTTTATTATTTATTTGATTTTATATTTATATATGTATTATATTAATAAAATTATTATTTAATAATTTAATTAAATAAAAATACTATATTTAAATATAATTTATATAAAAAATAATATTTTTATAAACATTATACTAAATTAAAATTATTGAATGTATTTTGAGTTAAATTAAGTCAGATATGACTGTATATATATGTGTGGGATCAAAATCGAGTATGAAAATAATAAGTCAATGTTCGAGGTGAAAGATCTTAACATTTGATTTTGAATAAGCCAATTAAAAATCTGAGACTATATATATATATATATATATATATATTATTTGAGTTAGTCATTGTATTTTACTAACATAAGATATATAACACGGAGAGGATAAAATATTAAGAGCCCTTAAATTTTGTCATTTTATTTAAATAAATCCCTATATATTTTATTATATCTAAATAAGTTTTTATTCTTTGATTTGATCTAAATAAACCTTTATTTCAAACAAAAAGATTTATTTATGTTAAGGATTTATTTAAGTACAAATTAAAAATTAAAAACTTATTTAGATACAAATTAAAGTTTAAGAGTTTATTTGGGAGTAAAGTAAAAATTAAAATATTATTTGAATGCAATAAAAGTATAGAGATTTATCCAAATAAAATAGTAAATTTAAAATTCTTTTATTATTTTAGTCATATATATATGTATAAGTAATATACTAATAAAAAAAAAAAACAAGTTATAACACAACTAACAAGATTATATAAACATATATTTATAAAAATAAAGTAACAATTAAATCTTAACAATCTTGTTATTTTTTCTTTTGAAGGGATGGCTGGCAAGTCGCAAGGCAATCCAAGCAACAAGCAAAGGTGCAAAATAAATTGAAGAAATTTAGGATAGAATAGAAGAAACCGTATTCGTTGGGTAAAATGAGAAAAAAAAAAATGCACGTTTACTTGTTTTTATTTAACTGAAAGTTTTATCAAGAAACTAGAATTTAGAAAGCTGATTTTTCTTTAAATTCACATGAATTGTGAGTTAATATTTGCGATAAACTAATTGATTTTAAATATTTGTAAATATTTATTATTGCATAAAATAAATAGATAAAAATATAATTTTAATCTCTTTTATTTTGAAACCAATTTGAATTTATTTAACATAAACATATACAAATATATATGCGTATGTAAAAAGGAACTTCAAAAATTTGGGAGGGAAAGGTCCTCTCCAGCTTGTTTTATGGGTTAGACGTCGAATCGAAATCAAGATTGAATTGTTAAAACATCAGGTTGGAGTTAGATCGAGAAAAAAAAAAAAAATCACTTTGACTCGATGTGTTATTATACCTAAATAAAAATATTCACATGACATCTCAATTTAATTTTTTATTATTTATTATTTTTTTAATTGTTTATTTTAATATTTTAACTAATTTGTAAAGATAAATTTAAAAGAGTGATTTAGATCTATTTATTACATAACATATAAAAATAAAATATAGACATTATACATAAATTAATTAATAAATTTTTATTAATTATTTTTTTAGTAAAAAATTATAAATAACATTATTTTCACTTATTTATTAAATTCATCATGAAGCTTATTTATTACAAATAAATGCTATTTCTGATTTTATTTTTTTGTAACATTTAGAAATAGAATTGGGCCATTGCTATATATCAAAGTTAAGTCAAACCCATCACCAGATATAATAGCTGCGAGCATATGCAAGCAACTCTGCATCCTCTCCTACTTGTATGTCCACCCAAACCCTAATTTCTTTTTTTTTTTTTTTACAATTAAAATTAAAATATCCCTCTTGATCTTTCTCACGTAACTCATTTAATTTTACCAAACAGGGTCTTCTCTTTAAATTGACGTTAAAGAAAAGTACAAATTACATAGAAATGGCAGCCCAAGCTGCAGCTACCACTTTCAATGGAAACTTGAAGGCAAGCTTTTTCTTCATCTTGTAAATTTACCCATTTCACATATCCTTCATCATAAATCAAATAACCCATAATTGAGATTAACTTTTTCGGCAGAAATCACCCTTCATTGCAAAGCACAGTAACTGTTTGTAGTATTTACTGATTGAATTATCACTTATTTTGGCAATTTGTAGTGATGGGCATGGTTATTTTAAGCTATAGTTTACAAAGTTCCCTTTACTTGATCGTTTATGTTTAAGTGGTGTTGGTTTTAGGTGATGAGGGGAAGAGATGAATTTTTGCTGCATTTTATTTTGCTGTTACAATTATTCTTTTTTGGATGATGTTTTGAACCTGATATAGGGGTGTGGTTAGATGAGTAAATATGCTGCAAAGAGAAAACATGGAACAATGTTTTAGGATTTATGTGAGTTTGCAGTGGTCCTATTGAGTTAACTTGTTTGCTCACGTAATTTCTTTTATTAATTTAACTATCCAAAAAGTTATAGATGAATGAGTGATTTGCAAGTTTTTGGGTTGTTGACTTCCTTGAATTTTGGAGTGTGGTTTACTCTAATCCAATAGTCGTTAACATTGATATGATAAAGAATTGATAGAGACATTGCAAATTCTTGTACTTCTATACCCTAGATAAGGATTACTGATTGCAGTGCGATGTAAATAGTAAATACTACTCAACGATTAACACTCGCTCCTTTCTCTTTTTTTTGTAATTATTGTTTTAACGTATGCAGAAAACACTTGCTGGTTTGAGGCGGATCAATCTGGAAGGTTTGCAATGGAGAGTCTTTGATGCTAAAGGCCAGGTATCTTTATCTTTTTCCGGTTTCTTTCAAAGATAACCTCTTTGTATTGCCAATAGGAGAACTTAATTTATGAAACTTGTTTTCTGGAAACCAGAGATGTGGGGTTGCGAAACCTCCATCCCTGAACCTCTCTTTTTGAGAAGCGATAATGATAAAAACATAGGTGATTTTATGGTCTATTAATGCAATGCAATTTTTTGTACATGTATTATAGCACTGTTGAACCATTTATCTAACATGTCTTTTTGTGCCTGAGGTTGAATAACTTTCATATATTTTATTTAACAGGTTCTTGGAAGATTAGCTTCTCAAATTTCTACCGTGATTCAAGGAAAGGACAAGCCTACTTACACTCCAAATCATGATGATGGGGATATGTGCATTGTGATTAATGCCAAGGATGTATGTGTTACAGGGAGAAAACTTACGGATAAGGTTTATTACTGGCATACAGGGCAAGTACTAATTTTTTAGCTGTTTCTGGTAATGAATTGAAGTTGGTTAGTAGTGCAAAACTACATGGAAATTAATGATTTAATTGGGTTTTCCTATCAGTTGGGTACCTGGAAAGTTTGGTTCTTTATTGAAACTCAAAATGATGTCCTTTTTTATGAGTTTAAGATTGAAATTATGTGTTACAAAGATCAAAACAGGCATGTTTTTTGAGTTCTGTCAATACAACAGGAATAATTTGACTTTCTTAAAATAGTTCTCTAAGATCCTCTTTCTTTATCAATCCTTTTACATATTTGGTTCTTGAGATTGGATGCTTCAGGTAGTGATGTTCTTGTATACTTCCTTCAATTGATGAATCATACTTCTTCAGCTATATCGGCCACCTCAAAGAAAGAAGTTTAAAGGACCGGATGGCAAAGGATCCTACAGAAGTCATACGCAAAGCAGTCCTACGCATGCTTCCTAGAAACAAACTGCGTGATGTAAGTATTTAAACCTGATTAAACTATGTCCTGTGTTTTTTATATGCATCTATCACCTGCTTGGTTTATTTCTGCCCTCTTTTCACCATTCTCTATCCAATTCCAGTTGCTCAAGACAAAAAATCCGAGCAATATGTTTTGACTCTTGCTTTGTGGCATTCAAATTCTCTGCATGTTAAGTCAAGTAGTCCACCCTGTTTGTTTTTTTACTTTTCATTTTTAAATTTTGGTTCTGCATACTTCAGAATTCGATTTTCTTAGATTATTTCTTATGATTAGGATAGAGATCGAAAATTGAGGATATTTGCTGGTAGTGAGCACCCCTTTGGTGATCGGCCCCTTGAACCGTATGTGATGCCTCCCAGAACAGTACGAGAAATGAGGCCTCATGCAAGAAGAGCCTTGATTCGAGCTCAAAAGAAGGCAGAAGAGCAAGTAGAAGGTGGCAACAAATCAAGAAAGGTCAGAAAGAAAGAAGCTAAAACAGAAGTGACAGCATGAAGAGTGATTGGCCTAGTCTCCTTTTCTGATAGCCTGCAGTTTTCCTGTTCTGTGTTGCACTACGACAACTGTGGGTGTAGATAAGCACTTGTTGGAATAGTAGTCTTGCTCACCCTTTTGCAGAAATTCTTTCAAGCTCAAACATATCAATTATAGTTTTTCTTTTGAAGGTAATAATTTTTCAGCACAGCAATGATTGTGGCTATTGTCTGCACTTGTTGGCAGCCCACTAGTTCTCCAAATTCTAAACTCCAAACTACTACTTTAAACGTGTGCCATAAACAATTTCTTTGTTGTTATACCATGAGTAGTGCTTAAAGAACCTATATTTCTAAGATAAGATCAGGCTTCACATTTTGGCTTAATCACCACTGCATGTGTAGAAACTTCCTTCCCATTGTTTTCATACTTTTATGGGTTTAATGATTTTTTCCTCTACCTCTTTCTTGCTCGAAAAATCAACCAAGCCGTAGAGAACTGAAAATTTGGAGAATGCAAAATTCTTGAGCTTAGACAAATCATTACAGGCCCAGAGTGAAGAGAGAAGCAGAGCATCAAGGCAAGGTTCTTAACTAGCGAATGCATTGGTAACTGGACTAGTAATAAGTATCTACAATTTGAAAGAGCAATTTCCTATTTCCTTGTAAAAGATTTTATGCTGTGTTTGATGTATTGAATTATGATAAGATGATATTATAAATTAAATTAAATTATTTTATTTTATTTTATTTTATATTTGATATTTATAAAAATTATGATAGAATAATTTTATTTATTAATTAAAATTATATTTTCTTAAATTTTATATAATTTAAATTATTTTTATTTTGTATTTGATACGTGTAAAGAAAGGATAAGAAGTTGTCCTTTAAAGCCATTAATGCTGCATTTTCCCATTGTTTAAACCACAGCCACAACTTCCTGGCCGTAAGATCAACAAACTTCATAAAAACTGAACTTGATATGAAATTTCCATCAACAAATTACAACTATCTCTCCGATTAGTACAAGGCAGTCCACTAATTAAACCATTATGAGTAACCCAATCTTAGGCTTTGCTTTGCTTGATAGGAAATATAAAAAAAAAAATAAAAAAGTGAGAATGAAAATTTTTTTAATCTAATAATTAAGCTATAAAGTAAAATAATAATTATGAATTTTAATTATTAGATTAACAAATTTTTCATTAACACATTTTTTCATCTTTCTTACCGAGCAAAGTTAAAGATGAACAGTGATGAAGTGAAATGATTCCATAGAAAATCCAGATAGACCAGGATTATTTTTTTCCCCAATTCTCTTACATTTAAAATTGATGTATAAAGTATAATGTACCCTTCATCGTTCCATTTGACAACCAAGGAAAAGCATAAAGAAATGATAAATGCTGTTTTACTACCGAGCTGGAATTTTTCTCACCTCCACCTGCAGTTGTTCAATCCTTAACTTTTATTGTTAGATCTTACCTTATAAAGCTTAGTAAAATGGTAGCCATCGCATGATAGAGAAGACAGAATGAAGAAACATTTAATGGCTAGTAACCAAGAACACCATATATCTCGTTGAACTATGCCTGGAGTTCATACATATGGTTTTGGTTTAATGGAAACCTACTTATTTTCTTTAACATCACTTGCAGATTTTTGCTCTACGTTCGAGCTATAGAAGACCACTAAACATAGGAAGTTGAGCCAAATCCAGTTATAGGGAATGGTAAATGTCTACATGTTATCTGTAATTGGCCCTCTTTATGTGAAAGAACTCAGGATTCAAGTGATCAGCAATCACATACACACAAACACATACTCAAAAGCAGAGAAAGAGAAAGAGAAAGAGAGAGAGAAATAGCAGTACATAGCTTCTGCAAATATTACAGAAGAATGTAGTTTTGGAAAGACAAAAGGCATACACCAAAAAATAGCAACTCCGCCATCAAAAAACATGCATTGACTATATCTTCAAACCTTCAGCTTTCTATGAGCTAGAAAAGGCTGCTGGCACAAGGGCATATTTGATAAACTTTATGCCAAAGATGTACCCATACATGCAAACTCAACTGTGATTTTTATCTGCGTTGTTCTATAACTATTTGTGAACCCCCTAGCGCTGCTGATGCATTTATACAATGATTGCAACATACAAAATATTGTAACAGAGTAAAAAAATAAAATGAATGAATCTAAGGTATAGGTAATACCAAGAGTTGTAGTATCTCTCACCCCAGCCTCAAAGGATCGGGCATAGAATATTATCCCTTGATGATCTCCCCCTATCCTGCATCACAAAGCAAACCTTTTATGTTTAGGAAGAAATAAACATATGTAACTTTAAGATTAAACAATAGATATTTTTCCAAGTATCAGACTCCATTTAGACAAGTAAATTGCCAATGCTGACTGCTAAATAGACCCTTGACCCAAGACTTATCAGGTTTCAATACAATGATGATGGCAAAACTAAAACAGATTAAATATGGCATAACATGTAAAATGGTCATGTTCTCAAACCCATTTTATATATTTGGTTTTCAGTTCCCAGTTCGGGGTATGAGGGGTGTTCTGTATATATCAGAACAAGATATGTTCTTAATGACCTTTCCCTTGTAGAATCACCTAATCTCCATGTTACAATCTCCCATCTATCATATCCAGTCAGAATGGAATTTCATTCATGATACGTAGATAAGGAAACATATTCCCCAATGGTGACAAACATCGGATGAAACACAGATCCAGCGCTGGGTCCTTGATTTAGCATCAATTTTATCTACTTAATAATAATAATAATAAGTCCAATTACCTTCCACGTATCATCCTTGATACAAGGCACAGCACAAGATGTTTTGCAACCAAAGTGTATCACATTATGTCAGCAAAATCTGTCCCTATAACCTGATAAGGTTCAAATTCTCAATGGAAATATTAACCACTATTCAACCTATATATATCAATCCATTCTCACGAAGTCAATGTAGACTGCTTCTTTGTAACCTTGTTTAATCTTGTTTCCTTACCCTATTCTCATGATCTTGCCAACTTCAACTATTCCCCCTCTTACTCTACATCCTCATTAAACAAATAACTCTCTGTAGCCAGCATTACTTTATTTCCCTAAGCATCATGACCATTAATACCTTGTAGAAGATCCTACTGATATTCCTGGACGAAAAACATAGCAAACCACCCACCTGAACCAAATCAGGGGACTTGTTTCGACATCAGTATTCAATAGCCTCAGCAGCAACTTCCTCGTTTTCAATTTCAGCATCAGTATAGGTGAGAGCACGCTGTAGTTTCCGTGGACAAAATACCTCAACCTCAGCCATATATATGGCAGTAACAGGGCGATGGTCAGAAAGTTTAAGCTCAGTCCTCCTATAACTTAGTTGCCTCATTCCTTTACCATATGAAAGGATGCGGTCACACCTGAAAGATTAGGTATATTAGAAAAATTCACAAGACAAACAAACAACAGGGGTAGATCTTATAATCTTGTTTAAGCATACCAAGCTGGAGTTCGCCTCCCAACCTTGGGATCTTCTCCATAGTATTTCTCTGAATTTAACTCATATTTGTATGTTGGTGCAAAATTTAAAGCACCTTCGGACCATCCATCAAATGTATGACCTTTACGCAGCTCTCGTACAAGCTGTCATGATAAAATAATATATTTAATAGCTACACCAGCATCCTATCAACAGCCATCAAGCTCATATTTGATAAGAAATCTGCAATGATCTAGACTCTTTGTAGGACTATTAAACTACCTGGTCTCTCTCAATTAACTTTGACCAATCTTTCTTGGAGATGAGATCATGTGCTTTATTATAGGACAGGTTGATACGGTAATTTAGATCTCCCAACCAAATTATTCTTCTGCACAAAAAAACAAAAAAAAACTCTGTTAAGCATATATAATAGGTCAATGATAGACGAGTAGGATAAGTGTCCAAAGAATGCTTAGCACTTTCTAATTTCTGAACAAGCACAACATCTCATTAAAAAAGACAAAAAAAATAAGCATAAAATATATAACCTTTTTTGGTAGGTACATTTTAAATTAAGAATCGTCTCCTAGGGCTACTTTTTATAGGCACTAATATCCAAATTACTTGTAAAGGAGGCCCAATTCTACCTCATTATGTTTTAAATTATCAAACATGTATAATTCCTCGAAAATAATGCTCCTTCAACTCTTAATATGCCACAGGTTACAAATACATATTCAACAGCATAAGCATCTCCTTCACTTGGAAAAAAGAAGATCAATTGATTCCACTGCTATGAATGATTTGGTCTCAACATATTTTATTTTCATAAAGTAGCCCTCATCTAAATGAATGAGGTTTACAATGCCATACAAAATTTTGGGACAGGCTTTACTTAGATATATTTATTAATCTATCTGTGTATCTTCCTCTTAAATGTGCTTTATGGAACAAAATCTCAAGCACATGCACACTTTTAGGTTCCTTTTGGTTGTTACTTTTATTACTTGCTTTTTGTTTCCTCAAAAGTTACCATAAAGCAAAGGAAAATTGTTGAAAGCAAGATCACAATTGATTGAAATGACTAAAATACATCAATTCTGACATGTTTGCTTAATGTATCAAAGTAAAATCAAGCATTTTCTCATCCAAAAAGATGCATTTTAAATTAAAAAAAAAAAGAACAATGTTTGCTTTTGCATCCAAATGCACTTTTTGTTTTTGGTTCCAAAAGTAAAAGGTAAATAGTAAAGATAACAACCAAATGGAATCTTAGTTATTTAGATTCCAACTTGCATGGTCAGGGAGCAAATAATGAAATAAAAATGTTTCTTTTGGTTTTCAGATTCCTACAGTCCATGAAACTTGGAGGAACCTCTCATGATATATTAGGGATAATCAGAGTGTAATGATCTCAACAACTAAAATGATAGATGAGTAGATAACCACTATTTCACACTGAAGGTAGAAATTAAAGTATACTCACTCATGATCATGAATGCATTTGGGAAGTCCAATTGCAGAAAGAGAATGAAAATGAGTTCGTCTAAGTATTTCATGCACATCAGCATTTCTTTTAAGTTCATCTCCATCTTTTTCACCTGATGTCAGGTGAGTGCATATAAAACAAAAAAGTGTTTGATATATGGACATGCTGACTGATATAGATCCCTGGAAAAAAAATGAATTGCTATATTATTAGCTAAAGACAGCAGAATTGAATAACAACTATGATCAGCAGCAGAAAATTTAATAAAAGAATTTAGTAGCCCTGATTCAAATAAATTGCTTACGAAGATACCACACATAAACAGAATTTAATGTTTTAAGACATGGGAAGCAAAAAGTCAACATCATTATTATAGGTGCATTGTTTGGGTTAATTTTAGTCATACTATCTTACTCTTGTATTTGTCTTTCAGCTATTGCTTGCAGGTATTACACCATGGACCACACATATAACTAGGTCCAATAGAGACTAGCTATTTGATTGGAGTAACCCTGGGATCAGTGGCAGGACTGTTATATTGCTCTCAGATCTTCACAATGTCATAGAGCAATTTGGTTTGGTGGGCTCCAATCTGAGACTGCAAAATGGGTTCTTGCATTGACCCCTTTGGAGTATCTGAGTACCAACCATGAGTCATTTGTTGACACATGGAATCACCCACATCACTTTTGAAAATACTAGATGTAACAACCAGTCATCCTATCTTAGGCCTCATTCCTTTTCAGTTTTCACTAAACAATGACTCATCACCACCTCTTTGGCTACATTAACTACACCCCCATCAGCCTATAGTATATGGCCTAACATCATTTGAAGGAGAGTTGCATATTTACTGTGGAAAAACTAAATAGAATATATATTGAAAAACTGCTCATTAAGAATTATACAAGAACCTTAGGTTTATATACAACTAAATAGGGGTTAAACTAGGAAACTAAATCTTCCTAAAAACTGATCCTATAATTGAGGGATTGTCTATCCTAATTTTTTGTCCTTAATTCTAGGGATACAAATACTTAATTCTAGAGATACAAATATAAATACACAGATTACAAGATTACAACCAGCTGTAAATAAATGTTTTCCCACATTTACCACCTAGAATTTCTCACACTTGTTTTAGCCTTTTTCCACCCCCATCACATTAATGTCACTACCTTCCACACTTCCTCAAGGGCTATATCTCAATCACCTCCTTTCAAGTTTACTTACTTCTAATTTGCCTCATCTTCCACTATGCCACTTTCTGCACTCCTGCTCATACTTTTGCCGCCCCTTTACTTCCATTAACTACCAAAAATACTCAAGTTCCCAAGGGATGTCCAGTCCTCTCCACCTCTCTACTTCGTTCCCACATACTCATTTATAGCATTACCTCATCCCTCACTAACAGAACTCTCTAAAATTATAGATCAATGGGATCTGATCTTCCTTAATATATATATATATATATATATATATAAACTAAATTCCTGAATCCCTCCTAATTATAAGTGCTAGTTAGATCATTTAAAAACTTCTGAAAAGAATGCTAAGCATTCTTGTCCAAGTTGAAATTGGCAGTCATAAATCCTACACTAAGTTGCAATGATACAGAGTTATGAGAGTAAAAACTACACAACATCACATTTTCTCGATGCTATCCACTTTAAAATACCTACACCAACCATCGGCATCAAGAAAGGAGAATCAGTTTTCACAAGTCAAGGTTCAAAATTATAGTTGACTTCAGTGGCAACTGACTTGATACCAGTGGCGAGTAATATTTGAGGCAAAAATGTAGTCAATTTGTTAGGAAATAAGTGCATCTGTCCAAGAGATAATCCTTGTATTTTAAGGCTTAAGGCTTAATGTAAGGCATACCCAAGCTTAGCTACAAAGAGCCCTAGATATAAAGTGTCCAACCTAAAAACTACCAGAACTGCAGCACCGTAATATACAAACTATATGGTTCCAAGTAGTGCTAACATGAAAAAAAAAAATTCAAACTTTCAATTTAAGGAAAAAAAAAAAAGAAACTAACATTCCTAGAAGGAACAAACCTTGTTACCGATGTAGCCCATTACACCAACACCAACAGTAGACACCTTCAAATTATGAATATGCCTGCGCAAACTCCTACGAACCCATACAGTAAGGAAAGTTCCTACCATCTGCTTACTTACTATTCTTACATACGACGATCTTCTTTTTCGCTTCATGTGGGATTCAAGGTCAAGTTCTGCAAGCAAAGCTATCCCTGATGCCATGTCATTTATGGACTTGAAGGAACTATATGTTTGAAAAGACTTGGTCGCTCTAAAGGATTTGGTCGATTTGAAAGAACTTGGTCTGCCCAAAACATGCTGAGATAGCAAGTTTAATGGAGGCTCTGGCCAGCTCAAACCAATCCTTTCAGTCCCACTAAGCATTCTGGTTAATTTTCCATTTTGTTCAATCCCACTAAGCATTCTGGTAAGTTTTCCATTTTTTTGACTGACCGAGGCTTCTATATTTTCAGCACAATCCTCTGTCCGCAAGCAATTCAATCTATCTAACCTCTTTGGAGAAAAAAATTGAATCTGTAAATCCTGTTCTATTGGGACATCAAGTTTAGCACCATCATTACAGTCTGAAACTTCAGAATTGGTGAACACTCTTTTATTTCCTGCTGAATTATTGACTTCATCAAAACCATTAGGTTCTTCATCTAATGGATAAATTTCATCACCAATATCACTATCACTTTCAAGAATGATCTCCTCTTCTAAATTTGGGACATCATCAAATGGCTTAAACTTTGATGGAGATGGGGGATCACTATAGCATTTTACTTTGGTAATTGCAGGTCCAATTCTATTGAGTGTCTCACGAATGATGTTTTCCCACTTTGGAACTGGGCGATTATCTTCGGCACCAAAAATATTCCCAGCATTTAATGGTACTATCTCCTGAAGACTGTAAACATAAAGCAATTATCCTATTTTAAGATGAACATGAAAAACATAAAAAACAAATTCAGGGATAATTGCTAAAAGCAAGATGCACCAAATTCTGAATTGACATGTATAAAAACAAGTGTTTTAAGGTCAAGCTGATACAAACAACATGAAAATTATCTCAAAAATTTTTCATGTAAAGATTGCCTGTGATTAAAGCATGACAAGGAAAGAAAATCAGCTTCAAATATAAGGCCAGAAAACGAAGAAAGTTCAAAATGCATATCAGGAAAATACTTACCCAAGCACATAGATGTCAGCAGGCTCATTGATATCTATCCAGTCATCAATATCTAGTTCATCAGGCGGAACCTTTCCACCAACATTCCAAGTACCAGCACATATTCTATTAATTAAAAAGGATACAAAAGGTTTCAGTAACAAACCCTATAACAACCGAACTCCTCTGAGTCACCAAAAATAGTGCAACCAGTTTAAGATTTATGTGTCAAAGCAACAAGGGAGAGGCACTGCACCTTATTTCCTTTGTGTTTATATATTGCGCCCTACAAGTCTCCGACTTACGTCTCCTTAACCTCGGAAGAGCATCTGAGCCCAAAAAGAGGGAAAATTTTTTTACAAGCAAAGAGTAAAGAAATTAAAAGAGTAATTCACCTCACTTCCTGAATTGGAGGTTCACACAAGTCGCAAAAGGTTACATTTAGAATTCCAAAGTCAAGTCCATGGTTGCAGGGATATCAGATTAAAACTTAACAAGAGAGACAAAAATTCCCTTCTGAAAATCGCACTGATAAATAAAAGTACTTGATTAATCAGTTTCACAGCATTTGAAAGGTAAATTGGTTGCATATGACAGAGTTTATGACTAATGAGGGGTAAAAATGCAAAATGTGAACTCTTTAAAAAAAATTGGCTTAATCAGATGCCATAGGATAACTCCGTTTGTATGTGCCCCTCAGATGTCTTTCAAGTATTGTTAGAAGTGTGCATCTGCATTGTAGGAATATGATTTTCCTACATTAGTGTAGATCTAATTCTCCTACATTAGTGCAGCTTAATTTTTTAATTTATTTTGAGGATATTTTTTATTTACTCTTCTAATTTAGTTAATTATTCTGATTATCAAGTTTTTAGAGATTTGTTTCTATTTCAGAATAGAATAATTCTTTTTCCTTTTATTATTTCTGTTTCATATAAGTTGTTTCTTAATGAGGAACTTCACTGTTTTTATTTATTTAGATGTACTCCTTCATTGTAGATAGAATAAGAAGAAATAAGGATAATTATTCTTTAAGTTTTCTACATGGTATCAGAGCAACTTGGTTTAAACCATTAAACTGTAGCCACATGAGCTTCTGTTATGGCTGGTAAGAGTGAGAACTCTTCTTCTACAAAGGTATGGCATGAAGAAAGTCACAAAGAGGTGATGCTCCAATAAATCCTTCAAAACAAGTCTGCAACCTTTGGAACTAGTTTACTAGCACAAAAAGGTAATTTCCTAAATGCCTTAAATGTTCAACAGGAAAATACACAATCTTGGATTGTTGATTCAGAAACATTAGATCACATGATAGTTCTGCTGTAAAAATTGCTGACGGCTAGATCTCAAAGGTGGCAGGAATAGGTTCTATTGTAGTTTCGAAAGACATAACACTCGACTCTGTCATGCATGTCCCTAATTTAAATTGTAACCTACTTTCTATTAGTAAGCTTGCGAATGATAGATGTTGTGTTATTAAATTTTGTCCCAACTTGTGTGAATTTCTGGAATTGGGCCCAGGGAGGATTATTGGTAGTGCTAGGATGTGTGTAAGGCTCTACCTTTTTCAAGATGATGCACTTGAGAGACCACAAAACTCTTGTACAGCCGTAGTCTCTAGAACTAGTAAGGATAACCTTATCACGTTATGGCATTATAGATTGGGACATCCAAATATTTCATACATAAAAATGCTATATCCCTTATTATTCAATAATATCTCTAAAGATTTTTAGTGTGAAATTTGTCAACTTTCCAAGCACACTCGAAATACCAACCCCAACCTTTCTTATAAATCATTTTAGCCTTTCTCAATGATTCACAATGATATTTAGGGACCGTTAAGAATTAACAATATCACAGGTGCTAGGGGGTTTGTTACATTCATCAATGATCATACTTGACTCACTTGGATATTCCTTATGAAAGAAAAATCCAAGGTTAGCCAAATCTTTCAAAATTTCAATAACATGGTACAAACCCAATTCCAAGCCAAAATCCAAGTTCTTAAAACTAACAATAGAAGGGAATACTTCAACTCTATTCTCGGCCCTTAATTCACCAATCATGGCATTATCTATCAAAGCTCTTGTGTTGACACTCCACAGCAAAATGGGGTTGTTAAACGTAAAAACAAACATTTGATAGAAGCAACTAGATACCCTTTGTTAAAATGTGCCTAAATATTTTTGGGGAGAAGCTGTCCTTACTGCAACTTATTTGGTTAACCGAATGCCTTCTTGAGTTCTTGGCTTTCAAACACCTTGTCAAACTCTCCTTGCTTCCTACCCACAAACTCGATTGATCTCTTCCATTCTTAGCAAACTCTTTGGCTGCATTGCCTTTGTTCATATTAGCCAACAAAACCGCAACAAGCTTAATCCCAAAGCCTTAAAATGCATCTTTCTGGGTTATTCCCAAACCAAAAGGGCTATAGGTGTTACTCTCCCATCACAAAAAAATTCTATAACTATATAGATGTCACCTTCTTTGAGAATCTTCTTTCCTATAACAAAAATGATATTTAGGGGAAAAATACTACTCACGAATATCAATTCTTAGCTATTGACTTGGCAATTTCCTAACCAACCCTTTCAAAACCAGATTCCCAACCATTCTATTCAAAACTAGAATCTCAACCAACCCTTTCAAAACTAGAATCTCAACTAGTCCCTTCAAAACCAGATTCTTAACCTACCCAATCGATCAGCCATGTAGATTTCAAAATCCAACCTGTTCACAACTCTTGACTCTTCAAACCTTAAGGTTATGCAAGAAAAAACAAAAGAACTAATAGTCTACTTAAGGAAGCAAAATCCAAAGGAAGAAGTGGACAACTGTACATAGCCCAACACTAAAAATCAACCTGATCCGAGTCTCCAAGAACTTGAAACTAACACAAGTAATGTCCCTATTGAATATGAAATTGAAACTTGTGAGCCAGTTGGTGACCTTGACATTCCTATTTCATTAAGAAAATGTGTGAGATCATGCATCTAGTACCCTATCTATAAATACATTCCATATGACAGGTTAAATCCAAACTTATGAGCTTTTACTACTAATCTTGACAATGTGCAAATTCCAAAAAATATTCAAAAAGCCCTCAATAAACTAGAATGGAAGGTAGCAGTTCTTGAAGAAATCAAGGCACTAGAGAAAAATGGGACATGAGAAATTTCAGATTTGCCCAAAGGGAAAAACCCGGTTAGATGTAACTGGATCTTCACAATAAAGCACAATGTACATGGAATTATAAATATGTTCAAAGCTAGACTTGTTACAAAAGGGTTTGCTCAATCTTATGGGATAGACTATGAGGAGACATTTGCTCCAGTAGCCAAACTCAATTCAATTAGAATTCTATTGTCACTAACAGCCAACTTGGATTGACCTTTCCACCAACTTGATATCAAGAATGCATTCTTAAATGGTGACTTGGAGGAAGATGTCTATATAGAAATTTCTCCTGATTTCAAAAGGCAAGACAACATGAGCAAAGTGAGCAAACTCCGAAAATCTTTGTATGGACTTAAACATTCTCTTCGAGCTCAGTTTGAACGGTTGACCAAGGTAATGAAGAGGTATGGATTCCTTCAATGTCAATATGACCATACTATGTTTGTTAAGTTCATTAATGAAGGAAAAAGAGTTATTCTTATTATTTATGTAGATGATATCATAATCACCGGATACCATAAGGAAGGAATAGATGATTTGAAGAAACTCATTGCAAAGGAGTTTAAAATAAAGGACTTGGGTTCCTTAAATATTTTCCTTGGATGAAAGTGGCTCAGTTTAAGAATGGAAGATCAGTGTCTTAGCGTAAGTATGTACTTGATCTACTTAAAGAAACCGGCATGATTGGATGCAAACCTACCGATACACCCATGGACTCAACTAATAAAATTGAAAGTGAAAATGAAAACTCTCGCATAGACAAAGGGTGATACCAAAGACTAGTTGGGAAGCTTATTTACCTTTCCCACACATGACCTGATATCAGGTTTATAGTAGGGATGGTGAGTAGATACATGAATAATACAACCAAAGAACATCTTAAGGCTGTTCATCACATCCTACAGTACTTAAAAAAGAGTTCTAGTGAAAGTCTATATATTAAGAAGTCAATGGACAGGGCAGTCAAGGTGTACACAGATGTTGACTGGGTTGGATCAGTAACAGATAGAAGGTCCACTTCTGGATATTGCACTTATGTTTGGGACAATTTGATCACTTGGAGAAGTAAAAAGCAAGTTGTTGTAGCTAGGAGTAGTGCTAAGGCTGAGTTTAGAGCAATGTCCAATGGTATTTGTGAAGGAATTTGGCTAATGAGGTTACTTGGAGAATTAAAAGTTCATACTGTGATATCTACGACACTGTTTTGTGACAATAAGGCTACTACAAGTATTGCCAAAAATCCTGTTTATTATGATAAGACCAAGCACATAGAGCTGGATCGACATTTCATAAAGGAAAAGATAGAAAATGGGTCAGTCAAACTGGCCTATATCCTTACAAGTTCACAAATTACAGATATTCTGACTAAAGCTCTTCCTAGAAGTATTTTTGACGGATTGAAATCCAAGCTGAGATTAACATTCATAACCCAGCTTGAAAGGGAGTGTAGAAATCTGATTTTCCTACATTAGTGCAGCTTGATTTTCTAATTTATTTTGGGAATATTTCTCATTTACTCTTCTGATTTAGTCAACTATTCTGATTATCAAGTTTTTAGGGATTTGTTTCTATTTTAGAATAGAATCATTCTCTTCTCTTTTATTATTTTTTATTTTCTATTTCATGTAAATTTTTCCTAATAAAAAACTTTACTGTTCCTATTTATTTAGATATACTCTTTCATTGTAAATAAAATAAAAACAAATAAAAATAATTATTCTTTAAGTTTTCTACATGCATAAATAGCACCCAGTTGAAAAGAAAGGCAAAAAGGGAGCTGTTCCCAATCAAAGAAAATCATCAATAAAAAACAGTCATTTTGATCAGTTCTCCACTACCCAAATTTAAAAAAAAAAAAATCCTTCATCTAATTCCATTGAATCTTCAACCATGTTTAACGAGATGCACCAACAGCTATTAGCTGAAGGAACTAAATATATTGAATAAGCTTTCTACTAAATTATGTTGAAAAGAATCTGAATCCCAATATGACAACCATTTCAATTTGATTGCTTTATGCACCACCTGATCCTAAAACTGAATTTGGAACTCCATCAAACCCCAATGCAACAACGACAACACAAATTTTTTGGACTAGATGATCCACATGTATTAAAAATTCTTTCTACAGCAACTTAAAATTTCCAAACTTTACAACTGAAAAGAAAAAAGATGCAACTCAAGTCTGAAGGTGTCAAAAAGATATATAGAAGATAACTAGCTTCATAACACAAATGATATAGCAAAAGAAAACGTCAATGTCAATAAGGCATTAAAATTATTACCATTTAGATCAGGCTGAAGCTCCTCCTCTCTGTTCCCTCTAAACCTTGATCCTCTGCCACTGCCACATTCAAAAAATTCTGCAAAACCCCACTTCACATTTAGACTCAAACCCCAAAAGGGTATTCTCAGAATAAAAATGAATCCTTAAAAACAACTATAGAACACATAAAAAAAGCTACAAAAAATCTCAAATTTCCTAAAAAGAAAAAAAAAACTGGGAAAATCCAAAGTTTGAGAAAACGGGTTTGAAGGAAAATGGTGAAGTGACCTTCAGTTTCAGAATCAGAACCAGTATCGTCTTCATCATCGGTATCAGCGCTGTAATCGGAGTCTCTGGGAGTGATGTTGAGCAATTTCCTCATGACAACTCGAGGCCAAAAAAGCTGTAGGCAGGAGCAACCAAAACAGCAGATTTCAGCCCAACTTCTCTGCAAGTTCTCTCTCGGTTATCCCATAATTAAAAAACCCAAACCCAGAAAAAAAAAAAAAAAAAGAAAAGAAAGAGAGGTAGGCTGAGAAAAAAGGAAAAGTACCTCTGATTGGGGCTTTGAGCCTTGCTTCATGGCTGTGTATACAAAAATGTAACGAAATGGAGAGAGCAAAGAAGAAGAATAAAGAAAACAATGGAAGCCAAAGAGAGGGAAGGAAAGACTGATAAAAGATGGAAGCAGTCGCAGGAAAACAACGCAACAACCTTTGGCTGGGAAAATAACGGTAAGCTTTGATTTTGACTCTTAATTTAATTTAGGAATTAGTGGCTACACATGATGATTCAATAACACAAGAAATGATGATAATTTTTATTTAATTAATTTCCTTAGTTACTCTACTCTTTATAGTTTACTTAATGGGGGAGTTAAGTGAATGTTGGTAGGTTCGTTGAATTTTGCAAAATTTAGAGTAAATAATTCATGGAATGGGGCCAATCAGCTTTTATTTGCCTTTTGCATATAATGTAACTGTATATTATATTCTTTTTTAGTGTATATTTTTGTTAATTTTTCTTGTATGATTAGTAATATGTAATTACGCTATTAACATTTTGATTGTCAGATCATCCTCAATCCAGAGGAAAAATTAAATTAAGCATACAGCAATTTTAGTTTAAAAAAAAAAAAAACAGAAAAACATTGGCCTGCAAAGGGAGCAAAGTTAGATCTATTGTCAGCTGCTGATCTGGTCTGGTCTCCATTGGAGGAGACCTTTTCCTAATGTTCCAAAAAAGCCATAAATTTGAGCCATATATTTTGTGTCAGTTCATTTATTTATTCATTTGATATAGTTGAAATCCCGACCATCCATTCTCTTCATTTTCATGTGCTCAGAATTCAGATGGGATGCCGATCATTTGTTTTTTTTCCTTTATATAAGTATGATCCCAAGTAGGTCACCATGTGTTTGGATTTCATTCGATAAAAGACAGTGTTAGACGGTGACCACCTACTATTGTCATAGAAAGTCCGACCACATTTGTGTTCAATAAAGACAAATACGATCATATATGTTATCGTATGTTCAAACACATTTGTATTCACATAATATATGAATGTATACCTATATATATAATTATAGTAAATTAACTAACTTTGCCGAAAATTGGAACTGGCTTAAGTTTAAATGGTTAGGATTGAAATCTCAGGGAAAAATCCATTATAAAACATATGTGTATCGATAAAATCATGATTACAGCTATTTTATGTCAAACAAAGCAATTTTAAACAACGACAATAACAACGTTTCGTGGATCTAAAAACTTTTAACGACGAACTACCCTTGATAAATTTAATTGCGACAGAGAAAGAAAATTAGTGTAGGTGGATGGATTATATTTTTTGCCTTCCCTATAGCGACGGAATTATTGCAAAATTATTAAATCACCTTTCGCTTTTGAAACTCAAGGTACAATCCATCTACTGTCTTATCACCAAATGCACATATCCCTTGCCATTTGGCCCCATGTTGGATCGTAAGTGAATACATGTTCCCAACAATATTACTAGTACTGGTATAATTTTTATTTTTAACATTCATAATTAAATATTATATTTATATAATTAATCAACAAATTATAATTTAATTAAACAATTAAATTCATATATAATAAAACTTATACATAAAACTTTAAAATTTTAAAATCTCATTTTTACTATTAGATTAAGATTTCATTGGCAACCCTACAGACAATCGGGACTGATTTTTTTTATTATTATTATTGTTATTTAGGAAAAAAGAAGGTGTCTTTTATATTTTTTTTGAAGGTAAAAGATTTTTTAAATTAACAAATTTACAATAAAATTATTTGAAATAGCAATTTTAAATTGATTAATTACAAAGGATTTGGAAAATGTCATTATGTAGTTTCAAACGACAAAATTATTCTTTGGATTCCAATTTATTTATTACTCCATAATTATTTAAAACAAAGGGTTTTGTGAATAGTATTTTTTAAAACTAATTATTGACTTTGGTCAATTATAGACCATGTGATGTTTATAATGTAAAATGTAAAATGCACGTTATCTGAATAAATAATATTTCCTAATACAAATTTTTATGTCTTTAATCAAGTGTTGTTGATTGGACATTTTACCAACGAGGAATAATCATAAAATTCAAGAGTTTCCCCAGATGAGGAATTTGAGGTTTGAGTCTATTCTTTAATTTATATATTATATATATTTAAGTTTATAAATCTATATATATATATATATATAATTGATTTGATCAAATGGAAGGTGCATGTACTTAATTTATTTCTTCTTTCTTCTCTATTTGTTTTTCAAAGTATATAAACTCTTTGAAAGCTCCGGTGAATAATAATTATATGAAAGAAATCACAAAAGTTGTTGAAGAAAACCAGTTAGTTTCCTTTTATTTTAGTTCCATTTTGTTTAATCGCAACTGAGATAAGCGATAAATAAATCTTGATGATGATGATCATTTTTAGAACAAAAACATTAAAGAAAAACCAAGCATATATATAGGAAAGGATCAAAGAATATGCAGTGAGTGATGGGTGAATCAAATGCCCAGAAAATGAATAATGATGAAGTGCGACAAAGGCATCATACCTGCTCTTTGGCTTGGCTATATATTGATACTCTTCAACTTAGCTTCTTTAGAAAAGAAAAAATAAAAAGTAATAATAAGAATAATAAAGGAAGGAGCTAAGCTAGGCAGGTTCTGCTAGGGGGAGGAGAGAGGATTTTGTTTTCTCCACACCAACGAAGCTTTAAATTTCTCAGGGTATGGTTTGTGGAAAGAAGAAATGTTTGGTCCTTCTCCTTGTTGCCAGATTTATGTATCATCAATTGCTTAGTTTGATTTTCATAAGCGTGGATTAAATAAATCAATTATCTTTTTTAAATTAATAACCAAACTATCAAATTAACGGATATTTTTATATAAATAATATAAATATAAAAATGATAACTAAGATATTAATAATAAAATTATAAGAAAAATTTTATTTAATAGAAATTTTTTTAAAAAATTATTATTTAAAATTAAATAAAATAATTATAAAAAAATCATTTTTAATGAAATCGACCAAACGATTACTCCCCTTACCTACAGAACCATCACAGGAATTCCTGTCTTTGGCTGACAAGTGTGAACCAAGTGTCAAATTGAGAGCCTAGACACTTAGGGGCTCCTTCGACCAAGTAGCCCTTAACTTCTTTTCTACCTCATTTTTTTTTCCATCCGAATTGCAATTTTAATTGCTGGTCGTTGAACTTTTTTATATTAGTGTACAAAATTGTGGAAATCGTCTTAAATCTTCAAGGCTGAAAATTTTTTGGAACCCACGTGTGAATTTCAAAAAGACTTACCGTATATCACATTAATTGCACGCAAGTAAATAAATTCAATACTTTGCAGCCTTCTTTCTTTGACTAATGATGATTAGACTCAATGTATATAATTTTCATTCAAAAATAAAAATAAACAAGAGGATGGTATAAACATTTAAATCAATTGAACTTTGATTATTAGTTTATAAATAAATTTGATTTTTATTTATTGATTAAATTCAATATATAATTATGAATAATATTTTAAAATTTATTAATTAAATTAACAGATTATAAATGTATACATCTTATTTTTTTTAAGGTTAATTTTGTAATTTATTGTTTATTTTTTTGTTAAATTAAAAAAAAATTAAGAAATTTAAGGTGATCGAATTTCTCAAGAACTGGGTTTTTTGGATTACAAAAATTTAAGTTAAAATCAAAGTTTGAAACTTGAACTAAAAGAAAATTGAAACTTTTTTTAGTATAAAGTTCTCACAATTTATAAATAAGATTCCTATAAATACAAATACAAAATCAACAGGGTTAGATAGAGAGAGATACGAAAAAATCACAAATGAAAAGTAGAGAAAGATACACAATAAAAAAAAAAAAGAAAGAGTACAAGAGAAAAAAAATATAAATTTTTTAAGAAGAAGTTTCTAGCAAGAGTTTTTTTTATATTTTATATTTTTATTTTGGGAAGTTTGATTTGGTGTTATTAGAGGATTTTAAAAGGCATAAGGGATTTGAGAATTTTTGCAAGCTTTTTTTGAATTTCTAGAAATTTTTTTCTGAAAATTCCAGTTTTTTGATGAAACTTTTTGGTGACCCTTGAAAATTTTGATGACTTTTCCAGCTTAAAACCCAGTTTTCATTGACTATTTCTAGATACTGACGTATTTTTCCAAAAAGTAGTAGACATTCCATCGACATCCTTCCCCATCTAAAGAGAGAGACAGAGGAAACAAGGGTTAGAGAGAGAGTGAGGGAAGCAATTTTGAAAGGAAAAAAAATTTAGCCTTTATAGATCTGCCAAATGACATCATTTTTACTTTTAACCTTTCATAGGATCAACGCATTTTCAAGTAGGTAATCCGACCGATGCCACACTCGACCCATATGTTTGGAATTGGTTTGCAACTAAGCCAGCTGAGCCGTTTAGTTGAGCTTTAAGTCATGTCCTCCAAGTCGTTCCTCTGTGTCTTGAGTCGTATCCTTTAAGCCTCCAAGTAAAGCTATTTTCTTGGTATTTTTATTATTTTTTCTATTTATTTATTTATTTTATTTATATATAGTTATTTATTTATCTGTTTATTTGTTTTCCATCTATGTTATTTTTCATTTATTTATTTGTTATTCATTTATCTATAAATATTTTTTAAAAAGAAAAAAAATTTTAAATAAAATAAAAGGACTTTATCAACATATTGGAGGGTTCAAATTTTCTTAAAGTAAATGTTTAAATAAAAATAATTGTACCAACATATTGGAATATTCAAATTTTTAATACATATTAGAAGATTTAAGTTTTTAATAAATTGTTTTAATAAAACAAAATGTCTTACCAACATAGTGGAAGGCAATTTGATTTTTAAAATAAAGTTTTTCCAACATATTGGAGAACCTTATTAATTTTTTTGCAAAACAAATTTCAAAAGAAAAAATAGTTTGAAATAAAGCCTTTAATTTTTAAGATAAAGTTTTACCAACATATTGAAAAACCTTATGAGTTTTAAATAAAAATTAATTTTTAGAAAAGAAATAATTTTCATAAAATCCTACCAACATATTAGAGGATAATTTCTAGTAGAAAATCTTATCAATATATTGAACGATATTTCTGGAAGTAAAGAATATTTTCACAAAGTTAGATTTTGAATCCTAATAATAAGATTACTAAGAGCGTTGTAAATACAATCTCTATATAAATTCTTATGTGAGAAATTCTTTCTAAATTTTACCTACATATTGAAGAATTTAGAAAAGATTTTTAATATCAAGATTCTCACGAAAATTTTAACTATCACAAATAAAAGTTTTTTTACAAAAATTAAATGAATC